GGGGCGACAAACTTTACTTTTGCCTAGGGCGGCAAAAATCCTTGCACCGGCCCTGCCTGTCACACATTCTCTTTTTAGTTTGATTCGTCTCTGAAGACGTTTTGATTGTTTGTGTGAAATTCTCGGGAAGTTTTCTCCTTCAGCTGTTGGATTTAGGAGTTATTGTTATTGCTTGTTATATGTTTGCTTCTGCTTGATGTCGCTTTCTGAAAGGGAAGTGCTTAGCTCACTATACCTCATGTACATCCTACTCACTTGTGATTGGTTCTTTTTTTTTTTTTTCTATGTGTTTCTTTGCTGCTGTGGAGGTAGTGAGGAGAGATTATGCAAAATACTCGCCTCCTGACATTACTAAAATTAATATTATTAGTAAACTAAAGCTAGTTTAATCTTCAATTGTTTTTGATCAGAGTGCAACAATATCTATACCTCATAATGTCAAACAAGAATATTTGGCAGTTTTTTTTTTAATTAAAATTGAATCAAAAAGAATATATCTGAAATCCCCTTGTTTTTTTTCTTTGTGTCCAGCAGACATTTATTAGGAAAATGTGTGAAGATTTAGAAGTGATAACAATGAATTTAATATAATGTTATACATTGGTAATGCCAATAAGTATTAGCTGCATTGAAATATAGGAAAGAACATTCTATAAAAAGTAATTGATTGACTCATAGGGTAAACAGATGAATGGAAAAATAGTGACAGCATAGGTTCACAAGATAATATAAACAGCCTTGTCGACCAGCTCAACTTAAGAAGCTGGTTTGCAGATTATTTAGTCTCTAAAAGCATCGCTCATGTATTCAACCCAGGTGCAAGCTGTGGAGGACATCTCATATTGCCACAGCTAGGCACCGAGCGCTTGTTTGTTGTGATTGATAATGGAGTATGATGTAACAGCACTGCTTCCAGATCATGTGCAGGTGGGTCATCTTTTCAAGTAGAGTACATCTCCACCATAAGTCTAATAGGGTGCCCTCCGCCTCTCCAGGAGGTGGACAGACCTCATGCAAAAAGAGCGATTGGGGTCTGGTAGCATCTGGTACAGATTCTTTAGGAGAATTACTGGAGTTGTGCCAATAATGAGGTTATATAAATGAGCGTCTAGTTTTTAGTGAAATCATCATCTGACATTGTCCTCTGCAGGTCATCCTCCCATTTGTTCATGCAAGGTGGGGGAATATTATATCTATCATTGACTAACATATTATAAATAATGTAAAGGATCAAATTAGTGTCCCTCGCAATATGTCTCAAATGCTGTAAGCTCTTGAGTGAAACTTCTTCTTTGAGGGATACCACGTAGATAATGTAAAATCTGGGCTTAGGTTTATTCGTGGGTTTGGTTCATGCCAACGGCCACTAGAGAACCAGCTTAAGGTTCCATTCGCATGAAGGGAAAGTGCCGAACCAAGGGCACCCAGGGCAAGCTACTAATGGCGGTTGGGAAAATTTAACTCCCGAACAGGGTCTTTGTATATGGCCCATAGTCCTAGGGCAGGAGGCTAGCTGGCAGGCTCTTCCAGGAGCCCGTGGCATAGGCACGTTTGCCACAGGTGAGTATGTGGAGGAACGCATGGGTATTGTTTGTAAACATGTCTGGCAGAGGTATCAGAGATTTGGAATCCCTGCTCCAGGAAGAGGCATCACTGCAAATACATGTTTGAGTGGTCCATATATCTCCACGGGAAAATCTGTGTTTTCCCATAGAGGTAGCATTGGGCCCTTGTCTGTGGTCAGGAACTATCTAGAGCACCATCTCTACCAGAGTTACAGTGTCACCTGAACGTATGTATTAGGATAGGCTGGTTGTCATTCGCACTCAGCCCAGAGCTATGGAAGAGCAGTTAGATCAATCAGGATGATTGTCCTCTCTAATGAGACCCAGAGTTTTGGCTGTGTCCCTGTGGCACCAGTGAATAACCCATGAAAGTGTGTAGTATTTCTCAAAGCCAGGTAAAACTAATCCCCCATGCTTTTGGCACCATCAATTATGTGTAGGCGAGACGGGGAAGATTATGTTGCCATATGAAGCCTCTGATCATCCTGCTGAGCTCTTTGAAGTAGGACAAAGATCAGAAGAAATAACAAGAGTAAGCATGGGAGCACCGACATTTTAACTGCATAGAACAGTCCTAGCCATGAAATACAAATCTGTCTACTGAGGAGAGAATGGGGAAAATATTCAAATGGAATAGGTCCCAAGTGAGCTAGGCCAAGCTTACTCAAAGTGGCAAACATGAAGTCACAATCCACAATATCGAAAGCCTTCTCGTTATCCATGTAAAGTAGAAGGACTAGGACTACCTTTTTTCACCCAGTGCATCAGGTTCAGGACTCTGATGCTGTGGTCCCTGACTTTCCTTCCTGAGATAAATCCAGTCTGATCTGGGTGTATCAGAATTTGTAAGGATGGTGAATTATGTTGCCCCAGAGCCTTCAATAGAAGCTTAAAGTCAACATTTAGGACTGAAATTGGATGGTTACTAGTGCAATCTGTTGGCAATAAAGTGATATTAGCTGAATTCAAGTGTGTTAATGGCAACAACCCGTCTAAGATTGATTTAAGAGCCTCCAACAGTAAAGGACTCCTCACCGAGTAGAATAGAATGCATTGTAATACAGTCGCGGGAGCCTATCTGGTCCTGGGATCTACTGGTTTTAGAAGATTTAAAAGCAAAACTCAATTCTTCTAGCATAATAGGTTCTTCCAATGCCTCTACCTCTGTCAGTTGTAACCTTGGTAAAGCTACAGAATTTCATAGATTGCCCTTGTACAATTTTGGGGATATATAACTGTCTTTCGTTGGTGTAGGAGTCTTGTTCAGGCTCTGGGAACCCACAGCAGAGTATGTACATTGTATCGGATGTAGAGGAATGTTAAGGTCCCCCTAAAGTAACCGCACCCCTTCTAATAAGTTGGATAGTGTGTGAAGCACCCCTCTGAGAAACTAAAATTGATGAGTGTTGGGAGCATAAATATTAGCAAAACTATAAGTTCCTTGCCAATCATGCCCTTAAAAAAGATATATCCATCATGCATGTCATGGACTTTAGCTCATTCGGTAAATGGGACATGTCTAGAAAACAAGATGCCTACCCATGTAGATTTTTTGTCAGATTTTTACCATTAAGGCCATCTGGCTCTGTATGGTCAGAGCACTCTCCCCCCGAAAGGGGCCACCATTGACCCACATGCCTTCAGATCTATTAGCAGTCTTCGTGATTTTCACAGACATTCAGGCCCTGACACTTAATCAAAACCAGAATGAGGTCCGAGGGGACCAGCGGGATCCCGCCTCAAAATGTCAAGGGACAGAGAGGAAAAAAAAGGGGGTGGAAGAGTAAACCGAAAGGGTTAGGAGAGGAACCGAAAAAGGAGACAATGAGTAGGTAAAGGTAAAGAAGGGTAGAAGTAAAGGTAAGGTAAAGAAGAAGAAGAGAAAAGAAAGAATGTAGAGTTTTAAGTTACTGGAGAACTGAAGTATACAGACCTAGTCTGGAATACAATAGATCCAACTCTAGGGAAAACCAGTATGGCTACATATCCGTATCCGGAGCTATGCCCCCAGCTCACAGGGTATTAATGGAATGGCTAGGCAGACTGAGAAAAACAAAAAGACAATTTGCAATGCATTAATATAGAACTAAAACGGAAAAAAAACTACACAATGTAACTAAATAGTTTTTGTGGCAGTAAAAAGAAAACCACCCAAATGAAGTATGTAATTACCTTTATCATGTTATCTGATAAGAAGAAAAAAAATCCAACCCAGTCATACAACAAATTGCAGGTATGACAGGTCCTAATTGGGCAAAAACAAAAAGACATCACAATAAGTGACTTATAATTAATATTACGTGGCAGGCATATAATGATGTGTACAGTACGAGGTCACTACAATCACAAAGAACCACCAAGGAGGAGACACATGGAAGTACAACCACAACCAAAATAATCTTAAAATATTGTGTAACATAATGATGCTTTTCCCCCGAACAGTCTGTCAAGTTTACCTATTCATGCAGACGGTGTTCCTTCTTCAAAACATGGCTGGCTTAGGTAAGCCTATGTGGCCAATGGACAGCAGTTGTGCATCTGAAGATGCTGCTGATAGTGAGATAGCAAAGACTGTTCTGCTTGAGAGGTAGTAGTGGAAGTCCACTAGCCTGTTCTACATGGAGTGTAGAACTAACATCTGTGAGTATTTCACTCTTCAGGTTGTGTAGGTAAATATCCTGGGCCCAGCCAGGGATCACTGACAAGAAGGTCTGGGGGCAGGGAAACAGGCATATTCAGCAGGTGCAGGAACAAAGGTGATAGCCACTTAATCCCCATTAAGCCCTATCTGCATGGCAAATTAGCCTCCTGCAATGCCGTAATGAGTAGTTTTATTTATTTATAAAATATTTTACAAAGAAGGATACATTGAGATTTCTCTCGTTTTCAAGTACGTCCTGAGCCCATAAACATTGGATTACAATAGGGTACAATAAAATAGTAAAAATACAAAACCAATATTAACTTCTTAAGGACGGCGGACACTCAATGCCATCCTTAACTCCTTAAGGACTGAGGCAGTTGTACAAGTTGAGATCAAATCAAAAGACAAACAAAACCTTGAATTTGCGCTATATGTCTGTTCAGGTGTAATTCACCTTTTTCATATTATGTGCACCCACATTTATCATTTATCAGTTTGTTCAGGAGAAACAGGGCTTTCATGTCACATCAAATATCTGTATATTAAACATAATTTAATCTAAATAAAATATAAAAAAAATTTGTAATTAAGAAATTGAGTTATTTTTCTAGTTCTGCATGGCATTTTTACTGTGAATGTCCCACTGCTGTTAGCTGTTACTGCAATAAAGTACACATATTTGTATTCACCGATGTCTCACTAGTAAAACAGTACCCCCAATGTACAGGTTTTATGGTGTTTTGGAAAGTTACCGGGTCAAATATAGCACATTACATTTTTCAGTTTATACACATTGAAATTTGCCAGACTGGTTATGTTGCCTTTGAGACCAAATTGTAGCCCAGGAATGAAAATTACCCTCATGATGGGGGTATTACACATGGGGTATATCCAGTTTATTTTAGTAGCCTCTCAGTCATATATTGCATAAGCCTGCCACAACGTCAATGTACCCCATTCTTGGCAGGTCCTACTCTAGCAGCCTAATGCCTGCCCTTATGAGATTAATCCACTTACTTGGGAAATACTTCCTTACTGGGACTCTCTGCAAGTTAAGGCTAAATAGGGTCCTGTAATGAGGCACCTGTGACAGGGAGGGGTGCAAAACCAAGGAGTTGGCCTGGGCTTCTGTGACAGATCACTCTGTCCTAGACTGAATCAACCGTATGGCTTGTTCACTTATTTAATTTGTTTTTCTCGTTCCTGTGGACTCTATGGCATTCCCCTGTTTATGACCGAACAAAACTACCGAACAGCCGGCCACCAAGTAGAGGAGTGTGCTGCTGATTAACCTCTTGGCCCCATTCGAACGTTGAAGATTAACCGCAGACACCTCGTAATTGGTACAGCAGTTGGGTGGCCGCCAATTGAATGCCGAACACGAGGTCGCGGCCATTTTAAAACACACAAACACACAACGGTGTTCGACGCCTAACTCATGGAACTAAAAATTGACACATTTTGTCACGAACTCCGCTGAAGCCGCCGACCTCCCTTCTTGTTCGGTAGATTGACACGAATGACTCTATATTCGTGGATTTAAACGGAATACACCGTACCCCAGATAGGAATCCTGTGGAGCCCATTCGTATGAAAACTGACTATGTGAACACTTTGGCTCCACGGCGATTAGACTGTGTGTATAGGATCTGAACGCTATTCGGTACTTTGGTGCGCTCAGATCCTAGCTATCTGGGGACGTGTGGAATGCCTATAAAATCTTGTAAAATGCAACAGTTATGTCATTTTATGTATTTTTATGTATGTCACAGTCCCCCATTCGGTCCCCTAGGGGAGTGTCCACCAGGTGGGGGACTTGCATAAAAGCCGGGCATGTAGCCCTCATTAAAGAGATTCCTGCTGACCCTCAATACGGAGCTGAGTCTCGTCTTTGGGGGGATTATTCGTATGGAGTATGCGTGTTCGGCTGTTTGGAGGAATATTTGATTCACATGGTGGCTGTTTGGGAGAAATAGTGTGTTCGTATATCTGCTGTTCGGTTACTTGGGAAAACCATCTCATCCGTACGGCTACTGTTCGGTGCTTTGTAGCACTCAGTGGCTGCCTCTGCATTCGGTAAGGGAACGTCCCATACGGCTGTAACCCCTCGCATACTGGGGGAGCCATTACAGCTTCCAAATATATCAATGAAACCAAGAGGGCTGCACTCACCTGAACATGCTTAAATTATAGGATGCTGCTGGGGCCAAAATATACAAAATACACAATCAGGCAGGCTTATGCAATATTTGCTCATATAATGTAACTAAACCCCCATTATTTTTTGTCCAGGTGAGGTGTTTTTAAATAAAACTATTACAATCTGTAAGATTTGAAATCATGGTTTAGTGAATAAGCGAGTGCACTGGATTGTGTATTTTGTATTATATATATATATATATATATATATATATAAAATCAAAGTACTTTGAAATGCACATACATACACATACACCATTATTAAAAGTGTATTTTAATATTAATATATATCTTTATAAATTAATATTAAAATACAATTATAAAAACATTATATATATATATATATATATTATAATTGAAGATTATATTAGCTTTAGTGTACTAATAATCTTAATTTTAGTAATGACAGGAGGCGAATATTTGCATATCTCTCTTTACTGAAAACTCCAGCAGCATAGAAACAGTAACAACCAATCAGAGAAAAGATATGGTGCCCATAAAAGGCCCTGTCTATGACATCACTTCCTCTTTCTTTGAAGCGAATGATAAATAACAACAAAAACATAATCACATTCAGTTAGCAGTTCAACAATATAGCAGGGAACATAACTCCGGTAATTCCATGGTGTAACGGTATGGGAGGTGAGTCTTTGTCCCGAAGAGAAGACGTTCACACTGAAATAAAAAGAAAAGGGTGAAAGGTCTCTGAAGTGGAAACATGTCCGCATGCAATAAACATTAAGAACCTGAAAATCCCAATGGATATAGACTGTGAAACTATCAACACTTATCTAAACTCGCAAGTAAGACATGTAATAAGTAAAACACAACATAATTCAAAGCACATGACCACGAACCCAACAATATCGTACTAAAACAGCTACATGTCTAAGTAGTAATACAATCCTAACATGCATGCCTTCCTGAACACTAAAACATAATCTTATAACACGAGATAACTAGGGAGGGATCCTATAGGGTGGGAAATATTCACCTCCTGTCATTACTAAAATTAAGATTATTAGTACACTAAAGCTAATATAATCTTCAATTTTACCACATGACAGGAGGCTTCATATTTGCAATTTTAAAGCTTAGACTTGACTAGTGTGAAGGAGGCGTGAGAGGATTGGCGGAAATAAAATGTCCTAAACGTACTCTCCCGTGTCCAGTCTGCGCAACGCATAATGTCGGTTAGGGATGCGCCTGCCAAGAAGGCTTGGGATGCTGCCGCACCTCTGACCGAATGTGCTCCAAAGCTAGGTTCGATACCTGCCAACCTCAGTAGCCAGCGTACCAATCTGGCCAGGGTTGTTGTAGACACCGGTGCGTGAGGCCTTACGTAAGAAATCAGCAGCTGACCCGCCGGGGTGAGACGAAGGTTGGCTGTGATTTCCATGTACCTCAGAAGTGTCCTGACAACGCATAGCTTGGAGTCTGATTCAAAATATGGATAAGACACTGAGGGCGAGTCTGATTTAGTCCGTCTAGAAATGGAGAAGGTGACTCCCTCCGGCGTGAGAGAAAAAACGTCCACGTCAAACGCCCTAACGTCTGACACCCGTCAGAATGAGACGAGGCATAACAAAAGAGCCAGTTTTGCTGAAAGCTGTTTCAGCGATAGAACGGGGTTGTCCGGCCAGCCCCAAAGGAAGTCCAGCACCCTATTCACCTGCCAGAGGCTGGAATATTTGGGTGCTGGGGGTCTTGTAAGTTTGGCAACCCGCAGTAGACGGCATACCAGAGGATCTTGACCCACTGGCTTGCCTTGTACTGGGACGTGCGCCGCTGAAACAGCCGATCTGATCACGTTAAGGGATCTATATGATCGACCCGTCGAGAACAGATGAGCGAGATAGTTGAGGATCAGTGGGACAGAGGCAGTAAAGGGATCGGAATCCCTTTCCATGCACCAATCACTCCAGGCTGACCAGGCGGATGTGTAACATCTCCTGGTGCCAGGAGCCCATGAGTCCCACAGGAGGTCTTTAGTAGATTGCGATAGGCCGTGGACCGACCAGGAGCCCCTGAAATCGTCCAGGCCACCAGTTCCAGTTGTCCTTCCAGGACGAGGGGATGGGGTTCCCCTCGAGGTCCCAACAAGAGAAACGCGTAGGTCGGGAGCCGAATGGGATGGTCGTGGGACATCTCCAGGAGGACCGGAAACCACGGTTGGCTCTGCCAAAGTGGTGTTATGAGCAGGAGCGAGTGCGGGTGCGGGTGTATCGCAATACCCGTGGGATCAATGAGAATGGAGGGAAAGCGTAGGCCCCGTGGGAGGGCCAGTCCTGAAGGAATGCATCCGCTGCTTCGCCCTTCGGGTGCGGAAGCCAACTGTAGTATCTTGGTAGTTGGTGGTTGGTCCTGGAGGCGAACAAGTCTATTGTTAGTGGGCCCAACCACTGACGTAGTGTCTGAAATATCTCCCTGTTGAGTTTCCAGTCGCTGGTGTCTCTCCAGTGGCGGGAGAACCAGTCCGCCGTCAGGTTGGAGATTCCTGGGAGGTATTCTGCTTGCAGCGTGATGTTCCTTCGTAGGCAGAAACTGTAGATGTCCTTCGTGGCTTCCGTCAGGTCTTTCGACCTCGCTCCGCTCAGGCGGTTGATATATTGTACCGCCGAGACATTGTCCATGCGTAGCAGGATACAGCAATTCGACCTGTCCTTGGCCAGGCTGCGGATGGCGAAGGATCCCGCGATCAGTTCCAGGCAGTTGATGTGTAGGCTGGTCTCCTCTTCCTGCCATGGGCCTCCCGTGGAGGCGTCCGCGCAATGAGCTCCCCATCCCCACAGGCTGGTGTCCGATTCCACTATGAAGTCCGGCGAAGGGCCGAAGATCGCTTTGCCATTCCAGGCTTGTATATGTAGTAACCACCATCGCAGATCCGACCTCATGTCCGACGAGAGTGGGATCCAGTGGTCGTAGGAGTTTCCGGTGCGCAGATATCCCGCTTTCAGCCGTTCCATGGCCCTGTAGTGTAGAGGGCCCGGGAATATCGCTTGTATGGATGAGGAAAGGAGTCCCACGATTCGAGCGAGCCTCCTGAGCGGTATTGCGTCCATCCTCAAGACACGTCTGATTTCCTTCCTTATTGAGGCCATCTTTTTTGATGTAAGGCGTAGTACGCATTCGTTCGAATCTATGTCGAAACCCAGGAATTAGACCGACTGGGAGGGAGAGAGAGACGACTTCTGTCTGTTCACCACGAAACCCAGGGATTCTAGCGAGTGAACGACAAATTTCGTCTGTGATTGTAGCCTGGATGCGGATTCGCTAAAGATCAGCAAATCGTCCAAGTATACGAGGCATCGGATGTGAGCCATCACTGGTCTCAGTAGCTTCGTGAAGCACCACGGAGCCGAGCTGAGGCCGAATGGCAGACATGTAAATTGGCATATCCGTCCTCTCCATCGGAAGCGGAGGAATTGTCGGCAGTGTACGTCCACTGGGACGGACAGATACGCATCTTTGAGGTTCAGGCGTGTAAACCAGTCGTTCTTGACGAGAAGGTCTTGTAGAAGATGGATTCCTTCCATCTTGAAGTGTCTGTAGATTACGAATGAGTTTAACTGCCGGAGATTGATAACCGGCCTGTACTCGCCCGTCTTCTTCTTGACCAAGAAAATGTTGCTTAGAAAGCCTCCCCCGTCCGGTGCGTATTGTATCGCGCCTTTTTCGAAGAGAGCGTGGATCTCTTCGTCTACTAGGTGGCTTTGTCCTGACGACTTGTGGATTGGGGGAGGGGGAGCGTTTTGAATGGGTCATGTGGCGAAGTCTATGATGAAACCCCGAACCGTCTGGAGGACCCAGGCGTCTTTGGAAATCAGTTCCCAGTTCTGGAAGAAAAAGGATAGGTTGCCTGCAATAAATTTTGATGCATTTGTGTATATAGGTGGACTCACCATTGGAGAAGTGGCCGCGGCCACGGCCTCTGAAGCCTCTGGTTCTCCCCGTTCCTCTGAACGATGAGGGCCTTTGCGTTGTAGACAGGAAGAAATTCGGGGCTTGTGGGAACGGTCTGGAACCTGAGGCCCAAAATCGGCTGGTGGCACGGTTCCATTGTCGACCAGCCCTTCCAAAAACACCTCTTGTGGATGGGGTGTGGAACACCTGTTTGAGAGAGGTTTGAGCCTTCGTTCAAGGTCGTGAATAGGTTCACATGTCTTTTAAGTTCCGTGATGAAGGCATCGCCAAATAACAGGCCTTGGGCTTTCGGTCCGAATTCTTTAGCCCCGAGGTCCAGGAGCTTGCTATCAATACGTATTAGGGCCGATCTGCGTCTTTCGACGCAAAGTGCGTGTAACGGCTACCCTGGTAGAGAGAGGGTATCGGCCGTTGGAGACGTCCTTTTTCCCTGCAAGCTGCTGTGGAGAAGTAAGCTGGTATAATCCCATTCACGATATCCAGAGTAAAAGTCAGGTTCAGCTGTAGCAGGAGCAGAATAACATTCCCAAATAATCCCCTTCCAAGAACGAGACAAGGCTACGTTTTGCAGGGTCAAGAAGATCTGTTTACTTGGCACCAAAGGGCCTTCTTTTATGCAGGTTTCCCTGAGATAGGACCACCCACAGGGGTTTACAGAATAACCAATCATAAACGTACATTACAGAAAC